GGCCTCTGACGGCCCCTTCCCACCCAAACCCCGCTGTGAGTCTATGTGTTTAAGCAAACGTGCTGTTATTTGACGACTGCTACAACATAGAGTGGGGATGAAGCCAAGGTACAAGAGGCAGGGGAAGGTTGCCCATGGTTGTGGAGCATCCTGACCCGCTCCAGGACCCATTGCCCACACACTGCCCAGGTTTATTCCCTTTACAGGCTTTGGACGGCTTCTTCTTCGTTGTGAACCGCGAAGGGAGGATCGTCTTTGTCTCTGAGAATGTGACCAGCTACCTGGGTTATAACCAAGAGGAGCTCATGAACACCAGTGTCTACAGCATCCTGCACGTGGGGGATCATGCCGAGTTCGTCAAGAACTTGTTGCCGAAGTCACTAGGTAAGAAAGCCCTTGAGGTGGGTTTTTTATCAGCTGGTGCTTGGAGAGTACTGTAAAAAACGATGTTGCGTCTTCAGTGGAGCTGGTCTTATATTGGGGGTTTTTTTACATGTTATTTATATATATTATTACATTTTATATTGTTTACTGTGAAATTCAGAGATATACCCAACCCGTAAACCTTTGCATAGTGAAATACATCCTACCAGTGAGATATCAATATTAGATTTTTTAGTAAATAAGCTGATGGATGACAATATTCACGTCATCTTCCCGTTGTCTTTCTCCGCTAAGAAAACTTTTGCCTTCATCTTCTTTGGCTTGTGGGTGGGAAGAACCAACTCGTCTGCCCGAAGGGAGGGGCACATGTAGGAGCTTTAAGGGAATGAGGAGTAAGATTTCGAGGTGTTGGTTTGGGGGCACTGAGCCTGTTGGCTTATCCCATTCATTTAGGACGTCCTCTCAGCTGGAGGGGTGTTGTCCCCAGCTGGTTTCAGAGCCCATCAGTACTTTGCCAAGTATCTAGCATGGGGATATGCTGCACCTTGGGGTGTGAGAAGAGGTCACGGTGCAAGCGGTGAGCTCGCGATGGTCCCCTACAGCGGGAAAATGAACAGTTGTGAGGATGGGAGGAAGCATCGCATGGTGAAGACACTTGCGGGGTGTTGGAAGCAACCGAAGCAGAAGGTTTTATTCGTTTACTGGAGGTGAGCATCCTCTGGGCGGCGAACGCGGGTGAGACATCACTGATTCCTCATTCGGTCACACCTTTGAAGAAACACAAGAGAAGATGAGCCTTTTCCAAGTAGCTTGACTTAAAAATAGTTTGGGTTTTTTTAAATACACACTTGTCTTCCTTCTGCATAAATACAATGATATCTTAAACCACCTAAATCTACGGGCACTCATCAGATTGAGCCTATAGAGGTTCAGGCATCGTCTTTTCCGTGTGCTTACCCAGTTTAAGGCTGGGTATTTTGTCTTTCGTTGGATGTTACAAGTCCCTCAGCTCTTCTCATAGGTCAGGTTGCGTGAAAGCTTTATAATCTGGTGGCAAAATCGCTTGGGTTGAATGTGGCTATCCTCCATGAAGAGGTTAGCAAAATCTTTCAACTGCTGCCCAGAGGTTTTTGGAGAAAGCCAGGTCATAGAAAAAAATCAACAGGGAAGGTTTTTGCTGCTGTGGTGCCAGAAGGTCTTGCTGCTGACTTGTCCCAGAAATGGGGAGGAAGCAAAGAAAAAATTCAATTCTATGGAGATGCTTAGCTGGATTTGCTGGAGAAGTCCCGGGAGCATCACTTCGGGGGGATTTCAAGTACAACAGCAAGAGGCAGGAGTCTTCCCAAGCACTGGAAGTGACTCAGAGACCCCGTGCCTCAGTTTCCCTGCCTGTAAGGTGGAGATGATAGGACCTACCAGCGATGTAAGGAGCAATTCATTAATGTCAGAACAACAACTCTCATGACGTGCTGATCTTAGTTGAGGTTGTAGGTGCTCTTAGGGCTTGGCTGGCAGCGTGGGTCTGGGCACAGGGTCTTCAGCAGGTCTGAAGGAGCCCCAGGGGCTGACGGGGAGGGCTCTGCCCCCAGCTTTGCTCTTGGCTCCCCCCTGACCTGGGCAGTAAGCTGGTTTCTTCCCCCCATGCCGATGCTTTTCCTTCTGTCCCCTTATCCGAGGGGTCCTCAGGACGTTGGGGAGGGTGTGTGCACGGCACGACTCTTATCAGCTCCTTTTCTCCTCCTTTCTCCATCCCCAGTAAATGGAGTTCCTTGGCCTCAAGAAGCAACCAGGCGCAACAGCCATACCTTCAGCTGCAGGATGCTGATCCGGCCACCCGACGAGCCGGGCGCGGAGAACCAGGAGGCTCGTCAGCGCTACGAGGTGATGCAGTGCTTCACCGTCTCCCAGCCCAAGTCCTTCAAGGAGGAAGGAGAAGGTAGGGGAGAGCATCCTCTGCTGCTGGCCCTGCGTTCGGGCTGGGGAGGGCAGGGCAGGCAGAGGAGCAGGGTGGGGATGGCAGTGCAGGCAGCGGGAGGACCGGGGTGGTCAGGGCAGGCAGGGCTGCCTGGTGGGGCTGGTTATTCCTGGCCTGGCACAGGCGATGCCCGGCACGGGGCAACAGCGGCGGAGATGCCTGAAGTTCTCTGTGGCTTCTTCTCTCCCGCTTCCCCCTGAGCCGATGCCCTCCAGCCACCCCAGCTTCTCTGGCCCTCCGGCTGCCTCCGGCGCCGCTCGCAGTCGGTATTCCTTAAGGAAGGAGCAATATTTAATACCCACCAAAGCCCTCTGGCTGCAGCACCTTCCCAGCAAGTGACGTGGGTGCCCAACACCCCGCCTTGTGCCTTCACTGCTGCTGGACCTCGGTGCTGCCTGCATGTTTTTGGGCTGAATTGGCTGCCTGCAGGCAGATCTGCCTGGGGACTCGGGACAGGCAGGGTTCCCTCGGCGCCGTGGGGGTCGTCGTTTTCCTGCAAGTGCCCTAACTCTCCTTTGGGTGTCCCAGCTATTATTTTCCAGCACATTAGTTGGATTAATCCATTGCGGTTTACACAGGAGATCATGACTGGAAGGAATAAATTATGGTATTTTATGACCAAATACTTTGCCTGAAGCCGACAGTTGCTGGCTTTTAGTGCTGACTTTTATTGTACAATACTGCCAGATCGAAAAGCCTTTACAATTAATTTCTCCAAGCACTGGAAACCTCTTTTCCAGCAAACTGTATAGAGTTTAGAAAGAGCCTACTCGCTTTGAAGGGACGGGGGATTGCTCGGGGTAAACACTTCCAGGGCAGGTCATGACAATCAAGCCACCACCAAGGGGCATCTTAATTAAAATGTTGAATTGCAAGCCGCGGTTGTAACGTCTGATTTTCATGTTCTCGGTCCTTTCTCCTGCTTTGGCAGATTTCCAGTCGTGTCTGATATGCATCGCGAGACGATTACCTCGACCGGCAGCCGTTACCCCTTCTGAATCCTTTGTGACCAAGCAAGACACCACAGGTAACGTCCCAGCCATGCCGGGGAGTCCTGGCTCCAGGGGCTTTGCTGTCCCCGGGGGCCAGAGGCCGGCGGTGCAGTGCAGGACCCCGTAACGTGAGCACGGTCCCGTCCTTTGCAAATGGCAGCGCTGCCTGCTAGCAGCGCTGTGGTTGGCACCTCAGCTGGAAGCACCTCAGCTGAGTTTACACCTCAACTGATCCAATACACCAGACCATGCCCTGCACGCAGCCCCTCTCTGCTCCGTGGGATTTTGGGGATGACTGAGGTTGCTGATTGATGGGAATGAAACAGTCATCACCTTTCGGATCCGGGTTTGCTCTCAGCCAAATATTGTTTTGTAGCCATTCTGGAGACCTTCTTTCTGGTAGTTCATCATCACCCTGGACTTCCCTGCAGCCTGTGAATCCTTAGTGAGTGATTTCCCTGCTCGCTGCTCCCTGCCCGTGGCTGTAAAACAGCCGGCAAAGCTGTCTGGTGTTTCATGTCGAGGGACAAAAAAGGCGGCAGGTCCTGCTTGGAGGACCCCTTGGTGTGGGCAAAGTGGCTGGCAGGGTGTCCCACCAGGTGAGGATATGAATCTGGGGACCCCAGCCCTGGAGCAGGGAGGGTCCCGTCGCACAAAGGTGCTTCTTGTTGGGTTTCATGTCCACTTTGGCTGGTCAAGGTGTGCGTAGAGGTTGGTGTGTGCTCCAGAGCAAACTCCTTGAACCTCCACCTCCTTCTGGAGGACCTCCTTGTGTTCTCCTGCCACTGCTGCCAAATAGGACGTGGATTCATTTTCCACATTTATGGACCTATTTGTGCTGAAAGACTTCTCATCCTCTGCTCGAGTAACGTGGCTTCTCTCTCTCCGCCCAGGTAAAATCATCTCCATTGACACCAGTTCCCTGAGAGCTGCCGGCAGGACGGGTTGGGAGGATCTGGTGCGGAAATGCATCTACGCTTTCTTCCAGCCTCAGGGCAGAGAGCCATCTTACGCCAAGCAGCTCTTTCAAGAAGGTAACGGGCTCCTCTTCCTCGCTGGCGCGCTCTCCTGCCGAGCAGCGGGAGCTGCAAGGAGAAGCCGGGGCACGGTCCTCCTTGCTGGAGAAATGCTTTCTGGAAAAACAAATGCTGTAACAATAATCACAAAGTGCTGAAGGGAGAAGGGAAGGGGCTGAGTAACGCTGGAGGAGCATCCCCAGCCAGGAGGCTCCCTCTTACCCTTCAGGAACTACAGAATTGAGACAAATATGAGCCTAATATGGTAATTTTAATTTTTTTTTTCCTGTATCATCTGCAATCACCATCCCCAGTGTCTAAGCAGAAGCAACGGAAGCTCTTCCGTGAGCGTTTTTGCTCTGTCGGCTCTTTGATGAGCATCTTTGCTGTGTCGGCGAGGATGCTCGCAGCAGGGATGCAGGGAAGGCAGGACGTAGGAGCGGGAGGTTGCTGAGCCTCCGGAGAGCTGTAGCTGTGCCAGGGTTGCAGTGCCAGTGTCCTGCTGCACCTTCCCAGCCTGGCTGGGCTTCACCAGCTTGTACCTTGTACACTGCTGGTTGAGTGATGGCCCCTTCGGAAGCTCTGAGCACTCAAGGACGGTGCTGGGTGGATTTAGATTTACCCACTGCAGGACACGGCTTTGGAGCTGGAAAAGCAGTTGGGAGGATTTCTGTGCCACCGTGGTTATTTGTAACCCTTTTATTTTCCGGGTCTACATGGTTAGCCAACATGCAGCATGTGGTCTTGTTTGCTGGGAACGTGGTTGTCCCGGGCAGGTCCTCTGTCTCCTCTGCTCCCTCCATCCTCCTCCTGGTGCTTGTAAGGTGTTGCAGGTTCTGGCTTGAGTTTCTAAGGGATTTCTTGTGTTTCTGGTTGTCTCCTTCAGTGATGACACGCGGCACGGCCTTCAGCCCCTCGTACCGATTCACCCTGAGCGACGGGACGGTGCTCAGTGCCCACACCAAGTGTAAGCTCTGCTACCCCTCCAGCCCGGAGATGCAGCCTTTCATCATGGGCATCCATGTCATCGACAGGTACGTCCCCACCCTGCTACTACCGAGCCATGCCAGTGCCCAGGTGGGCAATCCCGGAATCAAAGTGCCTGTTCCCTACAGTGGGAGGGGGATCCACGGGTGGTCTACAATGCTGGTTTGGAAATGTGATCCCCATGAGGAATCTGAGTCTGAAAACCAGCGTGATGGCAGCTCTGCTGATCTTGATTATTCTTGTTTCGCAAAGAGGTGGCCCTGGGAGTTCAGGTGGAGGTTTATAGACGTGGTTCTAATTTCTGCGTTGCCCTGGAGAGCTTAAAATATTTGGGGAGGGAGAGGCTCTGACAAACTGGCAGGTCAGGGCGAGGTGAGGCTGTGGACCTGGGCTGTGCTGGAGAAATGCGAGGGGGCTGGGGCAGCGGGGAATGCTGTCGGAGCACGGTGCCCCTCCAGCTGCGTGGGAGCGTGGGACCCGGAGAAGGTGATGCCTTCGGGGTTTAGCTGGTGAGCGGCCATGATCCCGAGCAGAGTCGCGTTTCTGGACAGATGCTAAAGCTGCTGCACTCCACCCATACGACTGAAATGGATACAGAAGTGCTGGTGGAGATGGGAAGGCTGGGACCATCAGGGCTTGTGAGCTGCTGCTCTCCAGGCTTCCGAGCTCTGCAGGAGCTGTCTGAGTGACACTAAAGGTTTGGGCAAAGCCTCTTGTGACTTTTCCTCTCTTTTTCATCTCCTGCAGGGATCACGGCATGCTCTCACCCCAGGAGAACACTAACTCCGCGATGTCCCTCCCCCGGGTCAGCCCCTCGCTGAACCCCAGCATCTCCCCGGGGCAAGGCATGGCCCTGCCACCCTCCATCCCTCCCTCCAACGGCAGCATGTTGGCCACCAATGTGAACCAGCAGCCGGGCACCGGCCTCCACAACAGCAACTCCAGCACCAGCCAAACCAGCTTTGGGTGTTCACCTGGGAACCAGATAGGAGCCAACGTTGCCTTAAGCCAGGGACAGACTGGTCCCCAGAACAGTAACCACACTTTGAACCTCAGTAGCTCCCCCATGAATAGCCCAGGGATTACGCCACCACAGTTCATGTCTCCGAGGCATCGGGTCAGCCCAGGGCTGGTGCCCAGACCCCGAGTGCCCAGCAATCCCTTCTCGCCCACCATGCCCACCATGCACTCCCCCGTGGGCATGGCCAACAGCGGCAGCGGGGGCAGCGGTGGCGCCGGTGGCACCAGGCCCTTTTCCAACGCCCCCATAAACTCTATGCAGGGTCTGACTGAAGGTCCCAGCACGCCGGTGGGCTACTCCACGCCACCCCCCGTGCTGAGACAGCTCAGCTCCCAGAGCTCGCCCAGCCGCCTCGCCATGCAACCCATGAAAGCAGAGTCCAAGGACAGCAAAGAGATCGCCTCCATCCTAAGCGAGATGATCCAGTCGGATGGCGGTTCGGGGGACGGCAAACCACTGGACTCAGGCATGCTGCACGCCGGCGACAGGCTCTCCGAGGGGGACAGCAAGTGCTCCCAAGCCAACAGCCACAAGCTGGGCCAGCTCCCGGCCGGGCCACCCCAGCGGAGCAGCAGCTTCGGCACGCTGATGCGGACACGAGCTGCAAAGATTCGTTAGCTTGCGCAGGCACCGCTGGCACTTTGGCCTCCGGCAACCCTCCCAGCAGCACCTGCCCTTCCTCCCATAGCTCGCTGACCGAGCGGCACAAGATTTTGCATAGACTCCTTCAGGAGGGCAGCCCTTCCGATATTACCACCCTGGCCATGGAGCATGAGAAGAAGGAGAATGCCCCAAACCCTGCTACCACCCCCACGGCTCAGAGCCAGCTGCCCGGAACCCCGGACATCAAACTGGAGCCGGACGCGCTGAAGAAAAAAGATGTCAAGGATCACCAGCTCCTACGCTATCTGCTGGACAAGGATGAGAAGGAGCTTGCTGCAGCCCCAGCGCTGAGCCTGGATGATGTAAAAGTGAAGGTGGAGAAGACAGAGCAGATGGAGCCTTGTAACACGGCGCCGGTGCCACTTGCCAAACCTCCTGCCGCAGAGGAGGTCAAGCTGGAGACACAGGGCCAGGTGAGTCGACCCATCTGTGTCCATGCTGGTGGGATGCTCTCAACAAGCTGTGTTTTGGGGGCAGTTTCCCCCAAACCTGCTGGCGTGCTCCCTCCACAGCAAGGCAGTGGGGCTGGGAGAAGTGTGGGGAGATGTCCTGTGGCTGCTGCAACCTTCTCCAGCGCTGGTGCCACCTTCTCCAGCGCTGGTGCCGCCCTTCAGCACTGATTCTACCTGCTGCAGTGCTGGTACCACCTCCTCCAGTGCTGGTGGCACCTTCTCCAGCACCAGTGCTGGACCTTTTGTCCAGATGCTTCCCATGTTGGCAGCTCAGCTCTTCAAGCCAATGGTGGAAAGGGAAGGGAGAAACTTTACCAAGGCGTATAAAAATGAGAAGGAAACGCTGCGCATCGCTGCAGGTGGTGGGCTTGAGTGAGGAGAAGACCACGTGCATGTTGCCATGTGAAAGGTTCTTAATTCTGCATCTCTGGGCACATTCAGGGCTCGTGTCCCAGGGAATTTTCAATCCATTGCCCTCTTGTTGGCTGAGATTAGCAATTATATGGGCCTTTTAGTAAGTATTATTAAATCGAATAATCCAGTGACAGATCTCTGCAGTAGAGATTTGGGTGTATAAATATTCATTACACGCAGCTATGAATAGAAGAGATTTCTTATTTTTGAAAGCCAGGGGAGATGGTAACATGGATAAGGCTGCTTAATCCTTTTTAAGCAAAGAGAAGAGAGCGGCTGACATGAAGAGCAGGGCTGATCGCCCGCTTACTAACTGCGGCAAATGAGGCTGCCGGCGTCTGGAGATACGGGATGAATGACGGAGCGCTCGGAGAGCCTCGAACGACAGATACACAATAAATCTCGTAGTAAGGTTAAGGGCTCGGTTGGCCTGGCAGTCGTGGACGGTTATCCTATAGGTGAGTGGGAATTGAGCTCCTTATCTCTTTCTATAATGTACCTTCCTGGTGTCATGGTCTGGCTGGATGGTACGTCCTCCCCTGTCATCTCCCATTTGAGATCCATCACCTAGATTAAGATAAATTGCCTCCGGATTAGGAAGACCCAAGGCAAGTTGTGCTTATTTTGGGAGGCACATGGGAGCTTGCAGGTGGGCAGTGAACCTGTCATAGAACCAGGTACCCACCACGATGCTCTAGTGGAAGGCACAGCATCCTCCCGGGAGATGCATGGGCTCTTGCCCGGAGCTACCGCAACCTGCTTTCACAAAGCTGGGAGCGTGTCAGGGAGCACGGTTGTAGCTGAAATTAGGCAAAATGCCAGGGCACGGGAAGAGCTTTGCTTGCCTGTTCTTCCGGACATCCACGTGAAGGATTCACTCACCGGCCAGGGATGCAGGCAAGCTCTTCGCTGACCGTCAGTGATGGTTCCAGGTACTCCATCCTTCAGAGAGGGCAGAAAGCCCTATTAATTAAAGGAGGCTGTGCTAGCTAATTGTGCTCTGCTCACAAACAGGCACACAGAGCTTGGATGACTTGAGCCTGGATGTGTTTATAAGCCCCTCTCCTACGCTGTTGGAAGCAGCCGAGTGTTTTTTAGGCTCCTTCATGGCTTTTCAGTTCCAAGTATCCCTCCCCAGGCAGCTGGAGAGCATGAGGATTATACGTTGGACACTACTAAGTGCTTCCAAAGAGTTAATAAAAGAGGCTGGAGAGGGTTTGCAAGTCTTAAAATGCATTTTCTGAGGAGTGAACAACTTTTCACTGCTCAGCAGCTAAGGACAGAGTTTCATTTCCATGTTTTCTGTCACAGGCTGCTTTGGTGTGGCACGGGGAGGGGGAGCTGCCATTTCAAATAAAATCTAGCACTTCTAGATTTTTGTTTTCATATGTGATTATTTTAAAAATTGAAATGTCAATTAGGAGCAACATTAATTGCGGGACAGGCTCTGCAGCTCGCCTTCAACCTTGAAGGAATTAGTTCCTTCCCAGATTTATCCTATGGAAGTGCCCTGGGTTGGCTCAGAGCCACCCGTCCACGGGGCGAGAACAAAAAATATTTGGGTAGGGCTTGGGAAAAAGCTAGTAGGAATTAGAAGTGTTTAAAAAAAAGATGAAAGGAAAAGAATAAGCAAGGTTTTGGAGGGGCTCTTCATCCTTGCGCTTCAAGGCATGAGCTGAACTTCACCTAGGTGAAGATGAAACTTTCCTTCAGGTCAGGTTGTCTCCTCTGCCCGTGAGCATGATGCTGGGGAGCAGGCAGTGCTGCCTGCACGTGGGAGTGCTCCACCGCCTGTGGACAGTGGGGTCCAAAGAGAAGTCGTGGATGCCCCATCATTGGAAGTCTTCAAGGTCAGGTTGGACGGGGCTCTGAGCAACCTGATCTACTGGAAGATGGCCCTGCCCATGGCAGGGGGTTGGGCTGGATAGTCCTTTAAGGTCCTTTTCCAACCCAAACCATTGATTCCATGAAAAATAAAAGTTTTACCTTCTTTTTAATTCGCTTTTTGGTTTCTGAAGCTACATTTCAGCTGGTTTTTGCAAGTAGGGTAGAATTCTTTTCTCAAAAAGAAGGAAAAAAAAGGAGTGATGACAGAAAGACGGAGATCCTTATGGAAATAGCTGCTTCCAGGAACCAGGGTTCCACAGAAAATTCAAATGATCTGAAGGTTGCCATAAAATCATGGAATTAATTAATTTGTGCAAGAATTTTGTTGCCCAGGTGGCTTGGGAGAAGTGCCTTCGCTCCACAGGAAGGTCCAGCCAGGGATAAAGGTTGGCTGGGTGGGTACCACCTGGGAGCACCTCTGACCTCCCTGGTGAGCTGATTTCATGCATGGGGTGTCCTACAAGCCTGCTGGGTGAGGCATAAAGGGCAGAGGCGGGATGCTGTCCCTTGGTCTGCCATTTGGTTGGCTTTGGTTTTGGAACCTTGTTTATGCCAGGAGCTGGAGGTTTGGGGAAGAAGAAGCTGTTCAGAAATATTCAGTCACCCTGAGCCTCCATCCCTTATGTCATGGGTTTTCTCACCCGTTTGGGGACAGAAATAGGTCATGGAGATCTGAGCCTTCTCTGAGCAAGACTGGATGGCCCGAGTTGCTCCAGCCCTCCAGCACCATGTGTTTTCTAGACATGGAGGAGAAATAAAATACCCATTAAAGTGGGCAAGATTCCAGGTGCAAGTTTGGGTGCTCCAGAACACAACTGATAAGCACCCTGCTCCCACCAGGTGTCCTTCATTTCCACCTCTCCATCCTCCAACCTCTTCACATACCTTATGAGCAACGCAAGAACTTCACTGCTCCCACACTATCTCCTCTTAACTATTTATCTCCTCAATTTGGATGCCCGCAGCTCCCTCTGTGCCCTTCTTCTCCCTCTGCCTCCAAAATGACCTCCCTGCAGGAGGAGGTGGAGTCGAGGAGATATATTTCTGCTGTATCGTGGATGTCTCCCATTCGCTTCAGTTCTCTTTGTTTTGCAAACTTGAGCTTTAAAAAAATGCTGCTTGGTCAAGAAATTACATCATTTGGAAGAGTTGAGACATGCAGCCTGCTGCAGGAGTTGAATTTGCTGCATTTCGTTCTCTCTGTGAGCCTGGGTTTAGGAGGATACTCTGCTTCTCAAGGCTCTGGGCTTAGGATTTGATGGAAAGGATACGGGTGAAAAGAAAAAGACTAGTTAATCCGTTATAAATTGTAATATTGATGCCTGCTGCTTACGGAGCACTTTTCATCATCGGCGTTGTCTAAACATCGTTTCGTTCACAAAATGCCACTGCAAAGGAAAAACAAGCGCGTGCCCTGTCATCTATTAAAAATACCGATTCATCTCTCCAGGTGCTACCGTGAGACTGTAGGAAAGGAGGAAAAAAGAGCGGTGAAGGTCCAGAAGGACCATGGCAGGGAGCGCGAGTGGCGTCTCTCGGGTCTCAGATGCTGGACTGGGCTTGTGGTTTCAATGGAGCCAGTGTTGTTGGAGGGTCAGTCCCGAGGTGGAGCTTCCCGCAGCCGCCCTGGGCTTTGTTTTCGTGATGGGCCACCCTGTGCACCGTGGAGGTGAAACTGGAAGCGGCTGCAGCGGCTATTGGCATTGCCACCCGTTTGGAGGATTTCATCTGAGATATCACATATTTCCAGCTAGGATTTAGGGAGAAACTTCTCATGCTTTCTTCTGGCAAGGGGCAAAGCTGTCACCTGGGTGAGAGGTCTTCAACGCTGCTCCATCAGCCGGGGAAGTGCAGAGACATCCCAGGGATGCCCAGAGCCGGCAGCCTCCCGGCTACGTATCATGGGCAGGGGCTTTTTTTGCAGCCTTGCCTCCCAGCTGACAGCGAAGCCTCTCAGCGAAGCCAGGATCCCAATTCCTGCCAGATTTCTCCATCTTCTCCAGACTGGAGCTTCACTCCTTCCATCAAATGCAAAGATTTTCCCTAGTGCTATCAAGTTGTCTATTAATTACCCCGTGTTAATGGCCAGGCTTTCCCTAACGCCGAGGGGGGCTCTTCTGGAAGTGGTATGCGTCCTTCGATTTTAAAGCATTTGGTTTCCCTTGAGATATTTTCCTTTTTAGCCAAAGCTCATTTATCTCAGCTCCTTTAATCCCAACCTGCTGCTTTACAGCGCCGCTATTACAGCCACTGGTGCAAATCCCTTTCCCAGTAACTTTCCCATTTATTTGAGTCCCCGGGCTAAACATCTTCCATTCTTAGCGCTGATGGAGGCTGGAAAAGCTGAATGATATTTTACAACCCCGTTGAGGGTAATTACATGCCCGAGGCCAGCTTCAGTGTTGGACACTTGTTCCAAAAAGTCACTTCTGTTTCTTAGAAAAGACCATTTTTTTATTATTATAATTTCAGCATAAGCATGTGTATATTAACAAAGCAAATTATCTCCCGTTTTAAATAGCTGGAGGTTATACATACCATTAATAATTATGTTAATTGCAGTGCATGAGCATCTCGAAGCTGCCGCCGAGGGCCGAGCTCTGGGGTGGGGACCCGTGTGCAGGGGGGACGGTCCTTGTCCCCCCAGGGTCTGCACCTGACCGGTCCTTGTCCCCACAGGGTCTGCAATTGACCAGGCAGAGGGATGCAGGGCTGGTTCTCTGTCCGTGCAAGACGCTCGGTGTTTCGGCAGGCGAAGGCATGGGGGAGCCGTGTTGGGGGGCTACGTCCATGCGAAAACAGCGCTCGGTCTCGCTGATGCTGTGTTTGGGCTGAATCGTCCACCTGTGATTATTTTTTTTTTCCCTTCCTTAGTTTGCTGCCGAACTGGAGCAGCTGGACCAGCTCCTGCCCTCGCTGGAGAAGGCGGCTCAGCTGCCCGGCTTGTGCGGACCGGAGAGAAGCGAGAGCGGCGTGGCCGGCGTCGCCGTCAAACCGGAGATGCTGGCAGCCCCCC